CCCATGGCAACGCCATCCTGGGTCGCGTCAGACGAGGAGGAACTCGCAGAGGTGGAAGTATCAGGGGCGTTGTCTCGCGCAATTGTCCCCCCAACGGACGAGGAGCCGGAGTGGCCGGAGGTACTGACACCCTCAGAAGAGCGGGAGCCGGATTCAGAGCCAGAAGAGGAGCCGGATTCAGAGCCAGAAGAGGAGCCGGAAGAAGTACCCGAACCGGAACTCGATGAAATTTCCATTGAAGTCATGGGAAGGACCAGAAAGGGGTTACAAAGAAGGGAAATAGAGCAAGAAATACCTTGGATCAACGGAAGCAAGATTGGAAGTCTTGATTGACGAACTGAGTATAGAGCGACGGAGGTCCTAGAGCGAGGAAGCGGGAATCGGAAACCCTAAACATCAGGGGAATTCTGGTATTTATAAGGGAAGCACCACCTCGTAGAACTAGTAACGAAGGGACACGTGGCGAGGAGCGTACCCCAAGGGCACGCGCCGCGCGTGGACTAAGGGGTGTAATGATGGCCTTGCCTCGAGAAGTGCACCGTTTCTGCGGCAGCCGTCACCTCAATTCCGAAACCGCCACCAATTAAGAGACATCATGGCACGTGCACCCTTTGTAGGCACGTGCACCTACAAGAATGCAGCAAGCATAGGCTCCGCGCCATGAGCGTCCCACCCATAAGGAGCGACATACTTCTTTATGTCCCTCGCATGCTCAGAACATCAGAAGTGGGGGACTTGTGTTGGGTTAATGGCCCAAATCAAGGGCCGGCCCATTCACCCCAACCCAGACGAACGTCTGTCCTAACGGGGAAAGCCTACCCGACGAATGTTCGTACGAAGGCAAGTGGATCAAACCCACAGAGCGTCACAGCGGCGACGAACGTCGCCTACAGGAGCCACAATCGCTTGGAGCCGGTCCAATCCATGTGACAAATTCCCTAAGGGCCAGAATACGAACGGCCCATTACCCTTTGCAGTATCATCAGGAGTAGGCCCTTACCCCAGCTGAACATACGTCTCCACGGGTTAGGCGGGAAATCCATATTCTGGCGGGAAGCGCATTTAATGCTGGAGATTTGGTGATTGGGACACCAGCCACACACAGCCTTCCACGTCAGCATAGCCAACTGCACATTGGTAGTATAAATAGTAGCATTTGTTTCATTGTAAAGAGTTGGCAACTTACTATTCTTAGCACTCTAGCTTATATTGCTCTTACTCGCAGCCCTTCTACTGCCTTACAAGACGAACGGCCGACGAGCCTTAGCAAGCGTATTGTATTGGGGAGTTATTAACTGATTAATCATACCTGATCTCTTACTTGCTTATCATTATTATCTCTTAATCCATCTTAGTTGCTGTTGGGCTAGTTTATTCGCACAAATACACCACTCCATTCGAAATCTTTGGGCTTACATGTTGAACCCAAAGGTTGAAGGAATAAACCTCAACAGGGACCAACCACAAGTATCTTTTGTGTACTTTTCACTTGAAATTATACTCTATCACTAATTAAATAGTCTATTAAACTTCAAAGACAAGCAACATAAACACAAATATACTTTATAAAAAACATATATGAACTCATTTTGCGTCATTATTTCAAACACAAAATAAATAGAACAAGTTAAAGGATGTAATATTAAATTTAATGGCTAAAAAGAACAAGATAAAAAACACAAAAAATTAAAATTTTCTTTTGAAATTAATAAACTCTTACCTTAAAGGCTTAAACCCGTTTGAATATGGTAGTGTAGAGTTTGTATAGAGAAAATGACACATAGAATGTTTTGGTGAGTAAAAATAATACTATGGATGTTTTCTTTTGGGTTGTTTTCAGTTTCAGACCAGACCAGACCAGACCAGACTTAAACAGACCAGATCAGACCAGACTTCCGTAGTTATAAAATACACAGAGACCAGACGTTTACCAGACCAGACCAGACCAATTCAGACCAGACCAGACTTAAACAGACCAGACCAGCAAATTTCAGTCCAAAAGAAAACATCCTATGTAGTATTTTCTTTTACTTTAGTGACAGAATTTAGTGGCGAATATTTCCGTTTCTATTTAGTGGCGGCTCTTCCATCGCTAAATTGTGCCTCCAATTAGTGTCAAAGCCGTCTGCCACAAATATCCGCCACGAAATGGTGACAGAATGAATCTGCCATAAATCTGCGACGAATGTCAATCCGCCACTAATTTCCGTCAAAGATTCCCGGCAAACTCACATCCGCCACTAAATTCCGTCATTAAAATCAGGATTTCTTGTAGTGATATACTCCGTAGTATTTACTGATAGTGTTATTCTTTATTTGACTAATTTTTTTTATCCGGATTGATCTGGTTTAAATTGGTCTGATACTTTATATGTTTGTACAAATGTCGAAGGATGATCTAATACCAAAATTAGTTCAATTTAAACATCCTTATAACAAGCTCAAACACTTGGCCCCTCTCCTTTTATTTCTATCTAGTTCCTCCATTTCTTTTTGAGTGATTGTTGTATACAAAATTTGTATACAGTACAGCTTGTACACACGTGTGTACACAAACAATTATAAATAATTACTGATTTTTGTTGTACGAACTATTTGTGTAAACAAGCAAATATGGATTGTACAGCGAATATAGAAATTTTGTGCACAAATGAATTGTTTTATTTTTACTTTCTACATTTCTCCTACGGAGTACACTCTAGCTCCCAAACCCCACCTTTCACAAAAAAAAAAATGATGACACCCCATCCCTGAGGGCCCCCCAACACCGACCGGACAACACGATGGGAGGATGTAAATTGGACTATAATCACAATCTGACAGATAGAGAGTGGGGTTCTGTCCCCGATACTTGCAGAGGCCCTATGCATTTTTCAGCATAGTAACCCCTCATCGTAGTTGCCGAGATTCGAACCCGAGACCTAACCCTTCTGACACTCCTTTGCTACCAGTTGAGCTACGCCCACCTTTCAAAGTTTCACCCCAAGTGTAGGAATCATGATTTCTTTCAAAAAAAAAAAGTGTCTGGAATCATGATATGATGATTCGATATGTTAGTACTCCGTATAAAAGTAATCATTTACATTTTACTACCTCCGTCCCATTTATATTGGGACGGAAGAGGGTGACACGGTTATTAAGAAAAGTGGGTTTGTGTGGTTGATATTAATTGATAAAGTAAGAATAAAGTAAGAATGATTTAGAGTCACACAAACTTTGCCAAATATGGTATGAGACCATTTAAGTGGGGCTTCCCGAAAAGGTAAAACGGGACAATATAAATGAGACGGAGGGAGTACATCAAAATGAGAAACGGGTAGGGGATGCCATAAAGTGATAAAGGTGCATTCAATATTTCAATAGACCAGAAATCAAATCAACCATGCTTGTTGTACCCATGACTTTGTACCCACCTTATACCCACCTCTGTGAAGGCTATTTTTTTGTATGTGAGGCCGGTTCAAAGACAAAATATGTCTTTGAATTCCTTCACAGACATATTTTGTCTGTGAAGGAATTCACAGACAAAAAAAATAACTTCACAAACATGGGTGGGTACAAAAGTGGGTATAAAAGTGGGTACAAACATCATTTTCCAAATCAAATACTCCTTACTGTGAAAGGATTAAATCGTAAACTCCCAGAAGAAAAAACAGCGAATTATTTTCCGCTTCTCTTTCCCAGTAAATCTCAGAACAGTGTGGACTGTTTGTAGACTTATTGCTTATTCTTATTTTATTCACATCAGATCAGATCAGAAAAATTAAGATTAGATCAAATCAGAAAGATTCAGATCAGATCAGATCAATAGCATTCATATCAGATCATAAAGATTCAGATCAGACAAGATCAGTAACATTCAGATTAGATCAGAAACATTCAGATCGGATAAAAAACATTCAGATCAGATCAGAATACTTCAAACATGATTTATCATTTTTGTTATTATAGTAATAATAATAATTATTATTGTTGTTGTTGTTGTTGTTGCTGTTGTTGTTATTAGTACTTTGTATTATTGTTATCATTATTAATATGATTATTATTATTATTGGTGTTGTTATTATTATTATCATCATCATTTTGTTTGGGAAAAGTGAATTTTATTCAAAAGAAGTAAACATTACAGAGAAAGAAAATACATAAAAAAAAGAAAGAATATAAACCAATACAGAGAAAAAAAGTACTAAAACTACACCCATGGAAATTCTCTTGATTGAAACCTAGTAGTCATGTTGTGTCGTCTTTTATTCTATTGAGATTTCCTGTCGATTTTGAGTTGTGTATTTATGTTTTCCGTTGGCAGACAATTTTTTGAGGTAACAAACTTTGATTTCCTGCAAATCGCTCTATCATCATCATGATTATTATAATGATTATTATTATTATTATTATTATTATTATTATTATTATGAGCATCATCACCATCATTATTATTATTATTATCATTATCATTATCATTATTATTGTTATTGTTGTTATTATTATTGGTATAATTATTAATATTATTATTTTTATTAATATTATGATTATAATCTTATTATTATTATAAAAATTAGTATATTATTATTATACGGAGTAATTATAATAATAATTATTATTATTATAATTATTATTATACGGAGTAATTATAATAATAGTAATTATAATCATCCCAAATCCATACTAATAACAATGTAATAAGCATTCAACATCAAACAACATATATTGTATATACAAATTTAAAAACAAAAAAATGAACAAATATAACCATAAATGCAAAAAAAAATCCGAAATAAATTTAAAAAATCGAACCAATATAACCCTAAACATAACCCCCAATCTGCCTTCAACACTTACCATTTTCATAAAATTTTCATCTTAAAACAAACAATACGTTTATGTTTCTATATTTGGGGCTGATTTGGGAGTTTGCAATTTGTGCATTTTTTTAGAGCAAGAAACACTTGTGATTAAGATCATCTAAGAACTGGCGTTTGAATTGAAGAATGAAGACTCACCTTCGAATTTGACGGTGGGAATGGCACGCCGCGGAAAGCGTTAGCAAAGGCTGTTGCTTCATCGTGTCTACGTTTGATGTTTATGTCCCCTTCTATTTCATTCTCAATTAAGTAAAAGGGGAAGAAGAGAAGAAAACAAAAAACGTAGGAGGCGAGACGAAGAAAACTGAAGAGAAAGAAGTAAAATTGGCGGAAGTATATATACCGTGTACACGGGCGTGTAAAACGCCGTGTACACGACGCATTTCTCTAAAAACTACTACCTCCGTCCCCCTAAGTTTGGGACAAAGGGGTGTGGTGTGGTTTTTAAGAAAAAGTAGAATTATGTGGTTGATATTGAATTGATAAAGTGTGAATAAAGTAAGAATGAATTCTAACCACTCAAATATTACTAAATATGGTATGGGACAAACTTAATGGGACGGACGAAAAAGGTAAATCGGGACAAAGTTAGGGGGACGGAGGGAGTATATTTGTTCATGTATATACTTAAATTTTATTATTATTATTATTATTATTATTATTATTATTATTATTATTTAATATTTATAACACAATGTAATTAAGTGATTAATTATCATGTATTATATCATGAGACAATTCTATCATTCATGCATGTTAATGTGTGTATATATATTTTTCACACACACAAACAAGATACTATTGTTTTACTATGTATTACTTATCATATTTATGTAATTACATTGATAAAAGATACAATATATGTGTCTCCAACTACTCTCCGCCAAGGCGTTTAGGCGCTAGATGCTTGGCTAGCGCTAGACGCTTGGCTGGCGCTAGACGCTTGGCTAGCGCTGGACGCTTGGCTGATGCCCGATCTAACGCCTTTTAGAACATTGTTCACAGTAGTTTCTAATCTGTATACTCCCTCCGTCCCGGAATGATGTTCCCCGTTTGACCCTCACACATTTTTATGCAAAAGTAAAAGTGTTGTTGACTTTCCTTATTTGCCCTCCCATCCCCACGTGCTGGCTTAATTCCGAAAACCAAAAAAACAAAGGGAAAGGAGCTGCAGTGGTAAAAACAATCAATTAAGGGGGTAAAAAACTTTTAAAAGTGATTTGATGGTTCTACAGTGCTGCACCTGTGTCCGGGTTACAAGATTCGAAAACCCTCCAAAAAAGGGAGGGTTAATGCTAATTTCATAGCTACAATACACCAAAATTCAAAATTCCCTCCAAATTGTTCTTTAAATGCCTACAACTACCACATCTACCACCATTTACTACAGTTATGGATCCCTCTTTGGCTCTTGGAACTGAGCATGGTGCACCTTCCTCAGCAAACTTTCCTGTTGATGTTGTACTTCCAGATTCCACAGGTCCAACTCCTGCTGTACCTACAGATTCCACAGCTCCAACTCCTGTTGTACCTGAAGATTCCACAGCTCCAACTCCTGTTGTACCTGCAGCAAACACAAATGAAGGAATCCAAACTGGAGGCATCAGGACGGCAAAGCTAAGTAATACAGAGAAAAGCACTTTGGTGGAAATACTATTAGCTCATTATCATAATGGGAAACTTCAGAGGGGCATTGTGGGAAACACAGCTACGCAATTCAACTGCTCCAGGCGCACAGTTAGCAAACTGTGGGTCCGAGCTCACCGTCAACTCAATGATGGGGTCCCAATTAATGTGCATAGCCAATGTAAGGGAAATGTGCGAAGAAAAAAGGCCATTTATGACTTGGACAAGTTAAAAGACATTCCACTTCATCAAAGAAAGAACATTCGGTCTTTGAGTTATGCCCTAGACATCTCAAAGTCTTCTGTGCACAGATTAATCAAAGGCAAGGAAATAAAGAGACATTCCAACGCCATAAAGCCATTGCTCACACATGAAGGTAAAATCAAAAGGTTACAATTCTGTCTATCTCATGTAGTGCCTAGGCCACCGCCATTAAACTCCACGTTTCATCATTTTTATGATCACATTCACATAGATGAAAAGTGGTTTTTTTATCCAAAGAAACCACAACATACTACACCCACCCAAGTGAGCCTGACCCCTACAGATCTGCTCAATCAAAAAAATTTATACCCAAAATTATGTTTTTAGCAGTTGTGGGTAGGCCTAGGTTTGGGGACAATGGGGCAGTGTTATGGGATGGAAAGATTGGTATCTTTCCATTCACATTTCAGGCAAAAGCAAAGAGGGCTAGTAAAAATAGACCAGCAGGAACTTGGGTGACAAAACCCACATTAAAGGTCAACAGAGATGTTATCAAAGAGATGATGATGCACAAAGTCCTACCAGCAATCAAAGCTACATGGCCAGATGCAGAAAATAGAAACATCATAATTCAACAAGATAATGCCCCGCCACATGTACATCCAGATGATGCAGACTTTCTGGAGTCAGCAACTGTTGATGGTTGGAACATAAAGCTTACTTACCAGCCATCTAACAGCCCAGACCTAAATGTATTGGACTTAGGTTTTTTTCGTGCAATTGATTCACTGAAGGAACAAAAATCCCCTAGGAGTATTGTTGAGTTAATTGAAATTGTGAGAACTGCATTTGATGAGCTCACAGCTTATACTTTGAACAATGTGTTTTTAAGTTATCAATGTGTGATGGAACAAATATTGATGCACAAGGGTGGAAATCACTATAAACTCAAGCATGTTGGTAAGGATAGGCTTGACAAACAGGGGCTGTTACCACAGAATATGGAAATCAATCCAGCAGTGGTGGATGAAGCTAAGGAGAATCTCATACACATGCAAACATAAGGGCCAGAAACACAAGAGGTGCATATGCAGGGTGAAGGGACTGAAACTCAGTTCACAACTGAAGATGATGCTCATCTTCAATGATGAACTGGGTAGGGACAACTTTCTTCATAGATGGGGAAGTGTACAATTTCTTTCAGTACACAAGTAAGAGACTGCTTTTTGTATGTAGGGAAGTGTACAATTTTTTGTATGTACACTAGTAAGGGACTGCTTTTTTGTATGTAAGGAAGTGTACAATTTTTTTTATGTACACTATCTTAGGGACAGCTTTTTTGTATGTAGGGAAGTGTACAATTTTTTGTATGTACACTAGTAAGGGACTGCTTTTTTGTATGTAGGGAAGTGTACAATTTTTTTATGTACACTATCTTAGGGACAGCTTTTTTGTATGTACACTATCAAAGGAACATAGCACAGAAAATGTAGGTGAAGTGTACAATTGATGTATGTACTGCCATGATTGCCTAGCCTACAATATCAAAATGTAGGGGCAGTGTAGTATCTTTTGTTCAAATATCAGTATGTTTATTGGCAGACATGTGTGTATTTAAGTGAAAAGGTAACAATCTAAGCCACAGTAAGGTAAGCAGACAAGGGCAACAAGATACATAGCCTCCTACACTTACTCAAAGTGGGTGGCATATGTACTGAAGGCAACCAGAAATTTCATAAGCAGTACATGGCATTCATGTATGCATTCAAGTCAATTGACACAATCTTACTCACACATGCACATACATTGGCTTTAAAGGCTGGGCCATCATCAATTAACTCACTCAGTAACCACACAACCCCCATCATCATCAGTAGAAGCATTAAAGTAAGCAGGGCTAGTAGTGTAAGTGCAGTGCCTCAGATCAGTGTAATATAAGACCTATATATCATCATTAGCAAAAAGCACAAATATACTCCTAAACTTAATCAAAGTGGGTGGCATATGTACTGAAAGTCACCCAGAAATAGGATCACCAGTTCATTTACATAGCCTCCTACACTTAGAGAAAGTGGATGAAGGTAACCAGAAAACACAATGAGACTCGTGTAGCAGTAAGGTTACATAGAATCAGGTAATTTCATCATTTAAGCAACAATCAGGTAAAATTATGGCACAATAATTCATCATTTATCAGATAAAGTAGCCAATAACCACAAAATGGGGACACAAATGTGCAAATTCAAACGAAATACACATATGTAAGGAATACAGAGACTTCCCTTAAGGGGTGTCCCGAAATACATCCGTGTACGGATCTGGGAACATGGCGTCGAAGGATTTAACCTCCTCGCCTTCTTCAACTGATTCTTGAGACTCAGGACACTGGGATCCATACCACTTCCGCAGCTTCCAACCCGGATCTGTTTCCGATGATGTAGTCCAGCCACATCCAGGGTCTCCTTCTTCGTCGTCGTGCACCCAAATGGGAAGAACAACTTTAGCATGGGTGACCGATTTTTTTTTTCGGAACCACAGGGGCTAGGGTTTATTACAGGTGGATGGCCATCGGAAATGTTTGGCTGTTTGGAGTCTGAATTCGAAGATGACACAGAAATAGGGTGTTCATCAATGGAAGGGGTAGGGTTGGTGGAGGATTCCATGCGTGGAAACCAGAAGAAGATGAAGGCACGTTCTAGAGAGAGAGAGGAGGCGAATCGGGAATGTAAATGGGTTATCCGGATAATGATGGGGAAAGTGGGGAGAGTAATTGGTTAAATGGGGAGAGTAAATGTGAAGGGTATATTAGGTATTCCATGTTAATATTCTTTCCATTTGAGGAAATGGTAACTTCTTTCTGGGACGTACGTCCAAAAAACGAAACCGAGAACATCATTCCAGGACGGAGGGAGTATACTATAGATATACATTTATACTTACAAAACATGATCCTGGTTTTCCAATGACATGATTAGAGGAAGGATATCAGTAACTTTTTTCACACAACATAACCGAATCATGATCTCGTTTCTTCAACAACAGAACATATATTTTCACTGTTGTGTTTAGTAATACAAAGGAAACAACTACGAAGTAATATTGGATGTAATTAGGGATGGACCGGGCCCGGGCGGCCCGACCCGCTACTGCTTAGGCCTGACCCGGCCCGATACTGCTTAGGCCCGACCCGGCCCGATTTTCCGGGACCGGTACCCAGCACGATGGAAAAGGGAGGTGGGCTCGGGCTCCTATTTTGGTGGACCGGCCAGGCCTGACTGAGCCCAGGCCTAACGGTCACCAATTAATTTTTTTCCCCATTATGCTTGGTTGCTAAGTGGGTGGGGTTGGGCGGTTTGGGGGAGTCTAGGGGGTGGAGTGTGGGGGGTTGGAATTAATTCAAAAAAAAATGAACAAAAAAATAGTGAAGGCCCAACTTGACCCGGACCCGAACCTGGACAGAAACTAATACCGGTACAAA